AAATTATATCCGTAGCAAGAGTGATACAAATTGTTTCCTCCAGAGCACAATGTCAACTGTCCATTGCAATGACAGTTTACAAATTCAAAATCGGTCTGGAGTCGGTCGATAACGGACGATTATGCCACTGTTTATATTCGTTTGCGCACTTTTTGATGAGTCATATCATTCTTAACTTGGACGGAAATGAAATTTGTTACAACGTTGCACTTAGTCTTTCATATTTGTTGTTAGTAATTTAAAAGACATTTTGAAACACATACGGAACGATAACAATTTTTTAAAATATAACAACACAAAAATGAAAAGGGAACTCGAGTACATTTATCGAGAGCCACAAATAATCCTTCAAAGAGCCGCATGTGGCTCGCGAGCCGCAGGTTGGCCACCCCTGCTATATGAAAATGGAAACAAAAAAATTTATTGAAAATAAATCTTTTAATGTCCAAATGTCTCTTCATCCAGAAAGCAATGTGTTTAGTTTATATCAATTAAGAAGAATTATACTTAATTTTTAATGTGTGTTTAGATATAAATTTTCTATTTAGGTTAATTATCTTTTAATATACTGTGGGTGATTGGTTAACGACAAATCCGTTCCAAGACCGTGATCGCTACCCGTATTGTTCGTTAACCGATTATGGATTTACCATAGGTTTTTATGGGAATTTGATTAATTCGTTCCAGAGACCCCGAAAAATGTAGGAAGAAAGTATATAATTTTTTAACCTATAGGTAATAATAAAACTACATATATACACAGTCTTGCATTTTTATCAGTCATGTTGTTTTTCCGTTTGTGGGATGTTAAAAAATCTGTCCAATGCCGATTGCTTTTCTCTTTTCTTTAGGATTTTTCGGAAGTAATTAATGGGATTGTCGTCGTAGAGATCCCCAAGCCTATTAACCTCAACATGGTTTGGATGCCATTCTAAGACCGTTGTTCTGACATGCACGCACTTTTTCAAAACATCTTTAATAGCAGATGTTGGCATTAGCCCTCTTTTTCAGAAGAAAACATATCTCGCCGAGTTTCTTGGAGTTCTTCTGTCTTCAGATCAATTTCAGGTTCTATTATGAACTCTTCAATGTGCTTCATTTCTCAGATATGATTTTCATTATTCCTTTAGCCGATTGAGTCTTGATTATATTTTTCTTAGATAAGGTTGTGTCTACTGTAGACCTGTTTAAGCCATTCGTGCAAAACGAATTTTAGACTATTATATGTTTATGTACTA